CAGGAATGTTCCCTTCTTTAGAGAAACAATACCCGAAGTCCATTCCAGGCAGCTGTGGTTCAAGGGCCTCAACTTCTGAACAACTACCGTAGTCTAAACCCTGAGTTACAGCAGCCTGGGTCGAGCTCACCAAGGATAGGCTGGGGCAGTGGGAGGAGGTCCCTTGTCTCCCCACCCAGACCCAGGCAAGTGCGAATCCCCACTGCAACCTGCTAGGCTGTGGCGGTGATAAGAGGACTGCGGCTTTGCCATTGGTCATTGGTCTTTCAAGATGCGTTATTAGCTGGACCTTGAACTACGACCTTGAACTACGACCTTGAACTATGACCAACAAAGGCAACAGGATCACAAAGTTATTTACCCACACCCCTACCAGCTCCCTTGACGCTCCTGCAAAGAGCCTCTGGGCTTCACACATCTGTCTGAAGGAAGCGGAGTGACTCAATGTTCAGAATTACTCGCTGGCCAGGAAGAGATCCGCTCTCTGGGGCCCCCAGGCGGTGTGGGTGTTGTGGTGTTGGACTCCCACTCCGACCGTGGGCCCCAGACCCGGCAGCCTGCTTGCTCATTTCCCCTCTCTTTCTCTCTGTCTCTCTCTGGTCAGTGCACATGCCCTATAGCACCTTTGTTTTTAAAAGAATTATTTTTAATTTTAACTTTATTTTACTTAATTCATTAATTTCATTTTATTTTATTTGACCACAGAGGGACAGAGTGAGAGACAGAGAGAGAAAGTGAGAAAGCAAGCCCCTGGGACTTGAACCGTGACTGGCCATGCGGGGGAGTCCAGCGCCCCAATCACCATGCCACTTGCCGGCCCCCCTATAGCAAATTAAAGAAAATAATGACAATAAATAAAATTAAATATTAAATACATATTTAATTAAACATTAAACACGTATTAATTAAATACATAATTCTATTTTTATACAAAGAGGGAGATTTGCTCTGAGACTTTTCTTTTTGGCGAGAGGGTGCAAGCTCTCACCAGAGGAGGTGGAGGGAGAAAGCACCCTCCCCCATGTTGTGTGGTCACCCCGCAATCTTTTCTCCTCCTTCATTCTTTCAGG